TTAGGGGAGGAAATGTGCCACCTGCAGTCTGACAATTTCTTGTTGGGAAGCTGCAGCTGAATCCACGGGTGGCTTTGGCCACATGCTACCTGCACATGAATGTATCCCAAGGGATACTCAGTGCACATCATGTGGATATAGCAACAGCTGTAAAATAAGAGCTGTGGCTGAGCAAGTGGGTGAGCTGCTTACCTCTGTATGTGCACATTCATTATTGAGCCTTTGTTTCCAGGCCTATTAAACACTGGAGTCCTTGCTCCTTAAATTTCCAAGCATGCAAAGAGATCCAAGATGTGGTTTGCGTTCGATGCCAGAAAGGCATGAATGTCTCCATAAAGCAGTGATAGTGCAATAAGCAATTCTGAGGTTTAAAAAAACTGCAGGTGGAGGGGAGCAGCTCTTCCCAATGATGAAAGTGTGCCTGTTCCCTAAACACAGTCTGTTATCTTCACCTCCCTCTAAGCAATCCAGCTAATATCTCCAAACAGGACATTGTAACATATGAGTAAACATTCGAACAATTGTTTCCACCTGTATTTTTCATGTTTCTGGACTTTAGTTTGCTAACAATGTTATGTCTAACCTGGATATGGCGGGGGGGGGGGGCAGAAATGTAAAAGAACAAGAACAACAACAACGCTGATTCATTATTATATTGCACTCATTGCTGCTTATTAGTAGCAAAAATAAATCATTTAGTCCTCATCCTGAATTGAAAGGGAGTCTAAGCATGTTGTAAGCATATTCCTGCTTATTCACAGTTGCCCCCGAACAGCTTTATCTCCACCCTCCCCCGCCTCTAGTGCTTTACCCCCGTTGTTAATATGTAGAGTGTAAGCTTCTTGGGGCAGGTATCTTGTCATATTTCCCCATGTTATTGTGTGCCATGTACATGGATGGCACAGGAGAAACACCATAACTCCTAAACTACCGTACTTTTCCGTGTATAAGACTGTGTTTTTTTACTCTAAAATAAGGTTCAAAATTGGGGCTCGCCTTATACACAGATAGTATCTCTCCCCCCCCCCATTTTCTTAAATTGGAGTTCCCCAAAATAGGGGGCGTCTTATAGACAGGAACATACGCTAAATTAAAAGCCTAGTTTGTGTGTTTGAGCAAGCGCTCACACAATCACCACACACTTATTTTAAACTATCCTCAGATCTTTGGGTTTGAGCGGTATTGTCTTACATGCACTATGCTGCTTTACCCTAGATGTGCTCATTTTGAACCCTTGACAGGCCCCAAAGAGAAATCTCACTAATGCTGTGTAATCCTGACCTGTCTCAAACAGCCCCCCAGCCCCGCCCTGCCACCCTCCCCCTGGGTCTCCCACATATCTCTGTGGCCTCACCCTTGTCCTGACCTGGAGAGATATCCTGCTGTTTGCAGTTCCAGCTCTGGGCCTCCTAACAGGTTGTCTTACACAGCTACATAATTTTCTTAATGGCCAATTTTAACTCCTTCCAGGATTCTTGGAGCCACGCAGGTGGCAGGGTGGGAAAAGTGCCATGTGAAGATTCTCAGCCCATTCTGTGCTCCACAATGTCTAAGGGATGGACACTTTGGAGGCTTACAAGCAGCAGAGGGACACATGGGGGGGGGGATTATTAACTCTCTCTCTTCATTGAGAATATTCCCAGGAAGGCAGGTTAAGACTGAAAGTGTGCATTTCACTAATGGAAGTCATTGATACTGGATGCTATGAGACACATAACATAAATGAGTTCTTGTTCTGCTGTTAAAATTCAGTTTGTGATTAGTATTTCTGAACAAGGAATATGCTTTGAATTTAGGAAAGGGTTGAGAGTGCAGAAATATTGGCTCTGACCACTGATACGTCCCACAGCCAGGATGGCCAATTATCAGAGATGTTAGGATGAGGTCATCCACAAAGGTAAAGGTAAAGGACCCCATGACAGTTAAGTCCAGTCAAAGGAGACTATGGGGTTACGGCGCTCATCTCACTTTCAGGCCAAAGGAGCCGGTGTTTGTCCACAGACAACTTTCTGGGTCATGTGGCCAGCATGAATAAACCGCTTCTGACGCAACAGGACACCTGATGGAAACCAGAGCGCACAGAAATGCTGTTTACCTTCCCGCCAGAGCGGTACCTATTTATCTACTTGCACTTGCATGCTTTCGAACTGCTAGGTTGGCAGGAGCTGGGACTGAGCAACGGGAGCTCACTCCGTCACAGGGTTTTGAACCACCAACCTTCCAATTGGCAAGCCCAAGAGGCTCAGTGTTTTAGACCACAGCGTCACCCACGTCCCTGGTCGTCCGCAACATCTAGAGGGCACCACATTGGCTACCCATGGTATACCATGTGGTTTCTAATCTCTTGCCCCCAGTGTTCACACATTACAAAACTCTGCAGTTGGCCCCATTGGTTCTGGTTCTAATCCCAAAATGACCTTGGAAACTCTATTTACATGCCTCCACTAAATATTTTTTTCCACGGATTATCCATGACTGATATTTACCTGCAACATGAAGATGTCACCAAGCACTTAGTCTATCTAATCAACATTAACAATATGGTGGTGGGGGCTTACACACATTGAGCTCCTCATCCAATCCATGTGGCTGCTCACAATCTCTGTTAAGCATCTCCACACATGTTTAAATTGATTCACATGAAATAGACAGCGTTTCCAAGTGAAGAGGCGAAAGGGGGTGACCAGGCCCCTTCTGGACAAACCTTTGGAGAACAACAGTTGAACTAAACTAATCCCACAAGAATATAAATCCACATTCAGGCTAGGCTAGATCCAATTAAAACAATCTAGTTTAATTAAGCAGGATAGGATTGCAGGGCAGACGACAGTTTCCCCAGGAATTACTCATTAGCAGAGGGGTTTCTGATGGTTAAACAAATGATGTTTTCAAGAAGTGAAAGCAAGCTCTACTAAGGGTCCCGCTTATATGCTCCACACCCTGCACCTGTATGGATGAGGCCCGTTGCAAACTAATGAGAACCATACTTCAAGGTCCTGCTGCAGATTTATGCATTATTTTGTTCCTATGGTCTTCAAGGGAGGAAGCTGATTCCCTAGCCCGCTGGTGCCCCCAAACATTGAGCCCCTAAGCTACATTATAAGGAGCATAGGTCCAAGAGCTGGCAAGGTTCAGAGTGGGTAACCAGCTGGCACTTCCTGCCACTATTTTATTAAATTTCCATGTAGATCTCAGGGCGGTTCACAACATAAAATCACATGTAGATCTCAGGGCAGTTCACAACATAAAATCACAATATAGAAAACACAAAATACACAATAATAAAAAAATTTAAAGACAACCCAATAATCCCCTCCAATAATGCATGAGCAGACATACATAAGATTATTATTATTAAATTTATATCCTACCCTTCTTCCTGAGGGAGTTCAGATTGCACAGCTAATCACTTTGTTTCATACCAGCTGCATTTTTGTGGTATTGGAACATCAAACCACATCCTACAATCTCACAAAATCCGGCAACATCATCTCAATACATGACGTAAAATATGCACGCTTTCAAACAGCCTACCGTGCCCAGTGCAATCTGGTACAAAGTAAGTAAAAATGTTTATCTTAAGGATGGAACTAGATCAAGTGGTTTGAAAGAGGGATAACTGCTTCAGCAGCAAATACACGCATCCCGTTTTTAGCTCCGGTAAACAGGTCTTGCAGGAGTTTGTATTGTTTCAAAACCCTGCAAAACCTGTTTGGCCAGAGGTAACAGTGGGACAAAAGAAGTATGTGTGCAATGACTACAGAAACAGATTCCTCTCTCTTGGACCACTTTCAGCTCTTTAAAAAAAACACTGCCCATCTCCAGCCTCAAAGCCCAATTATTATGCATTACGCATGTGAACAAAAACCTATGTGTGAACACATATGGGGCTTTTTATTGAACCAAGCAATTGACAGCATTGAAGCAATCATAGCACAAACAGAACTGCCTGAAATTCAAGCCAAGAGATTGATTTTTCCATAGAAAATCTGCTGCCAGAGGCTTGGAAAACAGAGCTGGAAATGGAATTCCTCCAGCAGGCTTTCACTTCCCTACTTAGCCTAATGGGCTAACCCTGATGCAGATTAAGTAATGTGAGATTTGGCCCTAGAAAATGTAGCCCAGTCATTTCACCTGGTTTACAATCAGGCTTGAGAGACAGAGAGAGAGCAAAGCAAAGCTCTGCGATTAGATTATTAATGCTACGGAAGGCCCGAAGTGAAACATGTTCTTCAGGAACGAGCTGTGACATGCTTCTGAAATCACTCAAGGGTTTAGCTTAGCGATTATGTCATCAGCAGCAGACAGCTGCAATATGAGCTTCTCAGGGCTCAGAGCTTGCTTGTGGTAGGGAAGTGAAGGGAAGAGCATTGGGGGAATGTGTGCAATTAGGACCTGAAACAAATTGGAGTAGGTGCAGCAAGGAAGGACTTGTACATCTATCTTTCTTTCTTCTCTTGCTTGATCTATTTTTTCCACTCTCAAGGGAGGGCTGTGTATAAAACACAGGTCCTGTATTCGGGTAAACTATTATTATTATTATTATTATTATTATTATTATTATTATTATTATTATTAAAATTTATATACCACCCTTCACCCAAAGATCATAGGACAGTTTAATCTTGTTTGTACACCCAGAAAAACTGAATTCTGCAACCTGAAAAATGAGGTTAAAATTTACCGCAGTTGTGTTTCTCTCTCTCCCCCCCCCCCATACTATAATGTTTTGTATTTCTCATGGCTACATGGGGAGTGCAGAGCACAGGTGTGTCTATTGAAACCTTGCTTATTCTCCCCTCTGGCTTCTGAGAATCTAACGTTTATATAATCACACTTATCTTCACAATCATGAGGTCTCAAAACACGAAAACAACTCCTACGCTTTTTCAAGAGGCTGAAGACACCGATACCAAATATCACAGCACTTGCCAAAACAAACAACCAACAAACAAATATTGGTGCTCCATTGCAAACACCTCACATGGGGCTTTCATTACCTTTTCAGTGACAATGGGAGTGGAGGACAGTGTGAGACTTGTGGGTGATTCCGAATGCTTCTTGTGCTTCTGTTTAGGCCTTTCCTTGTCCTTCCGACTCTGCAAAAGGAAGATCAAAAGACAATGTTTTACACCCTTCCAGCAGCAAGTGAGAAAGGAAGCTGTAAGGGGAAGGCATCAAGTGAGGATGACAGTCTAGAGTGTATATCTCAGAAGCCATTTCTTTCCCCACCATCCACAGCAACTCTGGCTCGTCGCCAAAAACATCTGCCTGGAGTAACTGCTCCTCCAGGTGCAGACAACATCTGGCATGCAGATCCATGACAAAAATCCATATCAGGTTCAGATTAAGATTATACATATACACCCATGCATATACACCATACAAGGCCCTCCAGCTATTCACCGGGAATTCCTTCTCCTGGATCAGCTTCATCAGAGGACACCTGAATTTTGCCTCTCCTTAAAAATAAAGAAATCACTAAATCCCAAGAAAAGGTTATTCGAGATTTTTCACTGCCCAGAAAAGCTGGCCACTACATCCTGAAAACTGCTAATTAAATGGTTTTGAAAAGATTTGTTTAATTTTTGTTATGGTTTATACATTTCTTGGGAGGCGTAGGGAGGTCCTCAAACACCATCCAGTGAATCACTGGGAACCCTGCTTAGTAACTGTTATTCATGCTTCTTTTTCCTGCTTCAGAGACTAGAACCTTGATTTCATTTCTTGAAATGAATAAAACAGCATTACAAAATCTGTGCCCAATATCAAAACCCCTCTTTCTGCAGTGTCGTTTTCATTAGTTATAGAACATGCCAGGTCCCCTGGAAGAACCACTTGTCCATATGATTCTGTACAAGGGCAGCTTCTCCCTAACGTTTCAGACTTAGTTTGCATTCATGGGGCGCATTGCATAAATTTGCAAGCTCCTGCTGTCTCGGGGTTCAGGAAGAGGTTGTGGGTCCCCCCCCTTAATGTGTGTGACATTTAGTTCCAGCCACATCTTTTAGAAGACATCTGAAGGCAGCCCTGTTTAGGGAAGCTTTTAATGTTTGACAGACTACTGTATTTTAATCTTTTGTTGGAAGCCGCCCAGAGTTGAAACCCAGCCAGATGGGCAGTGTATAAATAAATTATTATTATTATTATTATTATTATTATTATTATTATTATTATTATTAATCTCTTGTGGCTTAATGGGGATAGCCATGGCTAAAGGACAACTATCACATGTCAGAGGTCCAGGTTCCTATAACAGACCTGATTCGTTCACAACTTTTATGTAGATTGAGGGAAAGAAAATGTAGCTGAGTGATAGAGCACATCATTTGCATGTAAGTTTGCACCCTGGCCTCTCCAGTTAAAAAAGGATCAGGTAGAAGGAGATGATGGGAAAGTCCTGTACCTGAAGCCCTGGACAGATGCTGCCACTCAGATATTACTGAGCTAGATGAGTAAATTGCTTCAGTGGCTGAACTGGGAGAGAAAAAGGAGTTGGAAAAGAATGGAAGGAAGTGGGATAGTTAGGCACGTCTGCCGGAAAAGAGGTAGGATGGCATCTAATCCCACATCAGAAGACTGGGTATTAGTCTGCTTGCTGTGTACATCCTGCTTTTCTTCTTACCCTGCTAAGTAGTCTTACAAGGCATCTGTTACCCAACCCACATTGTCTCTGCAGGTGTTAGCACCTGTGTCATAAACCTGTGGCGCTTCTGCTGTTCTTTGCCTTGGTAAACTAGCATGCTGTGTCTGAACTCCAACACTGTATTAAACCGATTATAACCCACCTTGACTATAGTATTTTATTTTAAAAATGAGGTATAAAATTCGATAATCGCTAAATAAACAAGCAATCAAGCTTTGCACAGGAATTAGGTGTGTCTCCTAATTGCAATCTATGCTAGAAGGACATAAAGCAATCGTTGCTAAATTTAGGTTGCCTTCAGAGTGTCACTGATTCAAACCCATACTGGGAAATGTAGGCCTGCACAGTTAAAGAGGAATGGGACAGCTACAAGAGGCATTGGGGGCTGCATAAAATGAGGTTGGGGCCATGGTTTGCCCACCTGTGCTACAAACAAAACCCACATGTGTTGTGAAGAACACTTTTTCTTTTGTAAAGCAAACTTCTTCTAGCTCTTGATCAGGACTTTTTGTATGCTGCAATTCTGGAAGATCACAGAAGAGAAATGCAGGTTGCGTAGTGGGTATAGAAATTCAGTTTCTTGAGAATCTCAAGTTTCATTTTTAAAATGCAGCTGTCTAGGTCTTTATGGATTTTAAGATATACACGGAAATATGTGGGTAATGGCTGAGGAAATATTTGCAACCAGAGATAGCTGAAAAAGATTTGCAAGAGTGGAGACTGGTGCATCAATGACCTCACCCCTCCTGTTTCTAGCAAAACCAAAAGCAAACCATGAAAATGTCCTCCATTTGCATGATTTATACATGTTGCAGAAGTCAACTTTTCTTGGCACAGAATTTGGATTTCCTGACAGTAGGCCCCCCCCCTTCAGAGTGGAGTACATTCAGCCCTGCTTGTGGCTCCAGGGACAGCCTTGACAAAGTGTGTGGCTAACGCCTGGCAAAATCTCTGTGACCAAAAGCCAAGCAGAGGCCTGAGAAGCATTCCAATGGTCAGGCAGCTCTTTCCCCTCTTTGCGCTCATGGTAAGCAGAATAAATTATGCAAATCAATGAATCACCAGTTGGATCACATTTCTCCAGCGAGGAAAGCATCCTCACTGAATTCCAATTTGTTTCCAGGTATAATTCAAAGCACTGGTCTCATAAGAGGAGCCCTGTGGGATGATACCAATTGCCCATGTAGTCCAGCATCTTGTTCTTGCAGAGGCCAACTAGATGCATTTGGGAAACCGGTATTCAGAGACATACTGCCTCTAATAGCGCAGGTAGCCATTATCCTTTATGATCTTGTCTACGCCAGTGGTTCCCAATTAGCTAAATACCCAGGACCCCTTATTTTTCAAAAGCCAAGCCACGGACCCCCTACTTTTGAAAGTTTTGAAAACTCTATGGTAGTTACCTCTGCATTTATTTATTTATTTTTGGAACAAAATGTGGGGTAGCTCCTAACAAGCAAAGAATTTTAGGTATACTAAAAAAACAGACTAGGTCTGAGCATCATCTGGTTTTCAACATCGTGATATATCAGCAGTTAAGCACCACATTATTCTGATATATCACAATGTCTGAAATTGCAGATCAGGCGTGGGGATGAGGGAAGTAGCAGTCAAGGAGATCGTGTGGGTCGGGTGCCTGCAGATCAGGTGTGGGGATGAGGGAAGGGGCAGCTGTGGAGATCAGATGGGTGGGGGGAGGAGAGGAAGCAGAGTCACCTCCACTGCATGGTTTGAGTGGGAGGGGATTGGGGTACATCAAGCTGCAGTCAAGGGGGCAGCCAGCAGTGGCAGCCAGTGAAGACGCACTGTCTGCTGTGGCTGCTGCTGCTGCTTTCCTACTGAGAAAAGCTGCTCCACCTCAGCGCCAGGGGAAGGTAGTATCATGGTAAGGCAGCTCAGAGCAGCCACGTTATCAGCCGAGATCATCGCGGGATATCGGCAGTGCCTTGAAATCAGCTGCCCTGCTCTCCCTCGCACAAGGAGCAATATATTGCTGAATATTGCCAGGTCAAAATCATTGTCGCAGTGTGATTTCAAAACTGATTTGGGCCAATATATTGAAAAACCACACAGCGCTAAAATCTGTGATATTGCTATGCAAAAAATAACAAACAAACAAAAAATAGTTGGGAGGGGGGAGGCAAGGGGAGAGGCGGTGGACTAACTGGGTGTGTTCCGTGGATCTCCAGGGGTCCCGGGACTCAAAATTGGGAACCACTGGTCTACACCATTCAAGTTGGTGACCATATTTACATCTTGTGGTAGCAAATGCCATAGTTTAACTATGCACTATGTAAAGCAGTACAGTCGTACCTTGGAAGTCGAACGGAACCCGTTACCAAAGTCCGTTCGACTTCCAAAACGTTCGGAAACCAAAGCGCGGCTTCTGATTGGCTGCAGGAAGCTCCTGCAGCAACTGGAAGTCACGCAAACCACGTCAGACGTTCGGCTTCCAAAAATAGTTCGCAAACTCACTTCCAGGTTTGCAACGTTTGGGAGCCAAAATGTTCAAGAACTAAGCTGTTCGAAAACCAAGGTACGACTGTACTTCCTTTTGTCCATTCTGAATCTCCCCCCATTTAGCTTTGGTAGACTCCAGGTTCTAGTATTACGAGAGGGAGAAAAACTTCTCCCTCTCTACTATCTCCACACCTTACATACTTTTATACACCTCTGTTATATCCTCACTTACTCGCCTTTTTTCTTAACTAAAAAGTCCCAGATGTTGTGGCCATTTCTCATAAGGGAGTTGTTCCAATCCTATGATGATTTAGGTTGCCGCTTTCTGAACCTTTTCCAGGTCTACAATATCCTTCTGGAGGTGAAGCAATCAGAACTGAATACAGTATTTGAAGTGCAGTCACACCATAGATTTGTATACTGGCATTATGATATTAGCAGTTTTATTTTCAGTCCCCTTCATAATGATCTCCAACACAGATTTCACCTTTTTCACCATTATCCCCTAGGAAATTGGTCCCTTCTAGGAGATCGAATGTCTCTTCCTCAGAGTGATTCCTTCCTTCCCAGAGAGCCTCACTCCTATTTTGTGTTCATCGCAAACAGCAGTGTTTCCATTCTGCTACAATTCAGTTTCCACGGAAACCTATGTTATTTGTCTCATTATTCAATATGGCTGTAATCAATTTAAATGGAACGGAAAAGTAAAAAAACTATGCAGAAAATAATGTTGATTACTTATATAATATTTACAGACCTAAAATACAATCAAAGTGAATACCACTCATATTCACTTGTGTTATTTCCGTTCCTGACCTCCGACAAACATGCACACTGGCAAATTTTTGCTCCCATTTCCATATCTGAGGGAATTATCCGACATCCATTCCCTGGCTACCACTGCCATGTTCCCAAAGGCTTCATACACCAACCCCTGCCTCTCTCAACTTCTACATTTCATCACCATTGAGGAACAAACGTTTTCCCCAAGGA